GTGTATCTATTCTTATTTCCATTTTGAAGTCATGAAACTTAGTAACTATTGTGCCAAATATTCCAACAGTACTGCTTCAGCAGTACTGCAGTTTTAGGAGCAAGAGAAAAAACTCATCCAAACAAGTACCTCTTTGCCAAGTTATCTTCCATTGAGAACAACTGCTGAATCCTGTTTCTCCACACTATCACTCAAATGCCTGAGCATCTGAGTTAAACTAGGATTCATTGAACTAAAAGTGCTACTGAAGAAGTTATTTTCACAGGCTGTAACTATTTGTTGTTTTCTTCAAAATAAGCTCTCAATTAAACTAATGGGCCTAGTTAAGTTCTATTGCACTAGGACTGGCAGAAATAGACAGAAATATCCAAACCCCCCAACTGACCAGCTATGTTTATACTCATGTTTAGGCACTCTTATTAAAAATGAATTACGTACAGAGCACCTATAAGCATACAGTCAAGTTTACAAAATTCCTTGATTCTGGGTATGAGCTATGTATATAGCTGAATTAAAATGGCAAACGCACCTTCATTCTCTTGGCCAAGAGCTTTGCGTATTCTGCTGCCTCCTCCTTGTTCTTCTGAGTGCGTTGCTTCTTCAGAGCAATGCGTCTGCGCTTATGCTGCAGCACCCGAGGAGTCACCAGCCGCTGGATCTTAGGAGCCTTGGTTCTGGGTTTCTTTCCTAAAAAAGTATAACAAATCAGAAGTGGCAGACTATTTTCCAAAGAGGCCACAGGCCTTATCTAGCAATCTTTAGAGTAACTTCCATTTACTATTATGATAACATTATTTAGTGTACTACATATTATAGCAACTTATATGGAGTTCAACATCTTGACAAATTTTACGGGAAAAATAATCAATTAGTTTAAGATGCAGCATTAACAATACACAGTCCTAATGCTTATGATTTGTTATCAGCAATCAGGTGTTAATTCCTACTTTCTCAGCAGGTCTCTCTGTAGTAACTCCTCCTAGACTTAAAAGTTTTAAGAGTAAGGGTACTCATTATCTATTTTTCAGAACAGTTTTCAGTGTTAAAAAACTATCTACAATTTTACACAGGTTTGACATGGTTTATCCCCCCAAAACCAGATCTACATAGTCCACAATGGGCAAAAAACCCACACCACCACAGAAATCTATAAAATTTCACTACTCAGTGCTGACTGACTTGAGCAGTCACAAGCAAGAGTCTGATGTCTACCAGGATCACATTCTTAAATGGACAAAATAGTTCCTATGATGCAGTCTTTTCCCCAACAAACTTTCACAGTGCCTCACGTTTTATTGTGTCCTTTCTGCTAAAAATCTGCACCTTTTTCCTTTTCCCTGATCAAAGGCAAGAGAACCCAAACTTAGTCTCTTACACTACAAGAGACAGACAGTAAGCAAAGCAGTGCCCTTCCAATAAAAGCTTATTTCAGAGACTGCCATAAACAATGGGGAAAAATCTTACCATCTAACTGCTTTTTTCCCCCCACAACATAAAAATGTTCCACCTTGTATTTAATCTTGTTCTAATAACAACTACTGTTGGGTTATTCTTAGAATATTAGTCTAGATTCTATCAAACATTTAAAAACAAACTGTGAAAAACTAAAAAAAATTAAACAGAAGGGGAAGAGAGGGGTGAAAGAAATGAGGCAACCAAAAAACTCTTCCACAAATTGCAGTGGACAAAGCTTAAATATAGTGAGTGTAAACTCCTGGACCTGCTATTAACTGTGCTTCATTCACTGCAGCAGGCTGGACACCCTCTTGCCAGTAATTACGAGAAACCAAAGAACTGAAGAATGGCAGTTCTTACCCTCTTTGTTCAGAGGCTTCCTCACAACATACTGGCGAACATCATCCTCCTTAGACAGGTTGAACAGCTTGCGGATCCTGCTCGCCCTCTTGGGACCAAGACGACGGGGCACAGTTGTGTCCGTCAGCCCAGGAATGTCCTTTTCACCTTGGAGAATGCAAGTTTAAACATGCCAATTACCACTACATCTACTGAGCACCAGCTTCAGTAGCAAAACCCTAAGTTTAAAATACATAAAAATTCAAGATAATACTATACAATCCTTATGTTCACCTGCCAATAGCACCACCCCAGCTACCCTCAGCTGGTTTAACATGATGAGATTGCTGGCAGCAATAAAAAGTCCTTTAGTGACCAGTTTTAGCATTATAAGAATGCAATGCCCAGAGGCAATCTCAAGACACACATTCACACTCTAAAGCTGGGACTGCATTTGCGCTCCACACAACCTACCAGCCACTAGCAAGCAGGCTACTGCCTACTTCTACTTGTTTCATGCAGCCTCTTACCTTTTTTCACTATGACCAAGTTCAGGACACTTAAGTTGGCATCAACGATGCAGCCACGAACGGATTTGCGCTTTCTCTCTCCGGTCCTTCTGGGGCGGTAGCAGGAATGGCCCTTGCTGAGCAAAAGGCGGACACGTCCATGAGTCAGGACACCCTGCTTCATGGGGAAGCCTTGCTTGTCATTGCCACCACTGATCCGGACAACATATCCCTACGACAAACAGAAACACACTTCTTAGTTGCCCTTGTCTCTATTACCTCAAAAAGTAGCAGGTATCACAACACAGTGGATGCTCTAAACAATGAAGTACCGTGTCCCTGATTCAGCAGAAGTCACTGTTACTGCCACTGCAAACAACTGCTTTAACCAACACCTCTGCAATGCTCCAGGAATTTTACTTGAAAGATGTAAAAAATACTTCTGCATACCAGAATTTACATTTAGTGATTCCTATCCATTTGTAGTTTTGTTAAAGTTACACCACACAAAATCTTGTCCATAATTATCTAGCTTTTCTTTAATCTAAACCTACCTAAAGCCTGTTATCATCACAAACTGGAAAACTGCATAGAACACAAGACTGTCTGGAGTAGGGAGACAGAGGTAAAAAGTAAAGCTTTTATAGCCTGCCTTGCAAAGGTGGCAGCAGAAAAGATCAACTTCCTTAAATCCAGCTGCACTGTCTGTATTACCACTGAACTATTCCAAGCCCATCCATCAGGTCTAGCATGCTTTTTTCCATGTGTTAGCAACAGTTTAAGCACAACAAAGTCAGTTTCCAGCTTGTTCAGTAAAGAAAGGATCAGCAGTTTTACACTGCAGATTTAATTTGTCCTGAATACCATGACAGCATTCATATGAAGAAAGTACTGCAAAGGGCAACAAGAAACTCCAAAACTCAAGGCTCTAAAGAAGAAAAATGAAAAAATTTTATTTTGATAAATCAAAGTACCAGAACAGGCTAGCCTAATCACTAATTCTGTACATACATAGCAAGAGAAACTTTCAAGATAACTGCCAAATGTACAACATACAACCGCTGTATCATGACAACTGCGTATTGGAAAATTTGGTAATATAAGCTCGTCAAATATAACTCTAACACACCCTTCTGCGTTACTTACCTTCCACTCCTCACCAAGGGAATCAGCCAGGACCTCCGTGGCCATCCGTTTCTCATAGAATGTTCTCAGCTTGCGCTCATCATCCACTTCAATGAGTTTCTGGCAGCCAGTGGCTGGGAAAGAGATGTTGAGCTACCACAGAAAACGGTAAGAAAAAAAGACAGATACGGCTGAAAATTTTGAGGCATCTTAACAAAAGGTCAGTATTTATTTACCTGCTGGTTTGATCTCGACATTTGAAAGCTGTAATTCCCACCTGCTTCCACGAACACTCACCAGCCACAGCCCATCACCACGGCACTCGGGGTGCCGAGCCAGGGAGGACTGTGTTCGGCCACTCTGGGCTGCACAACTCGTTCAGTCGCACAGAAAACTGACTATGGCAGCCGGAGCTCAATCACGGAACTGCGAGCAGAACAAGGTGAGGGCAGCAGAAATCTGTGCCCTCCTCTTCCTGGAAACCCCCTCGTAAGCACAGGCCGTGTTAGCCACTAAAAACATTTCACGAGAGCGGCCCCTGCCATGGGTGATTCTTGGGTGATGGTGACCCCAGCTCCCCTGGTGCTGCTGCGGAGCGCAGCGCTCGGGGGGCGCATCCCGGCACTGCTCCTGAGCGCGGCCAGAGAACAGCGCATACAGCTACTCCTCGCCAGGCCCCACCACCGGCTGCACAGGCCTCTCGCTCGCAAGGCCCTTCCGAGCGAGGAGCGGCCGCTCTGGAGCCCGGCGCTCGCTGGCCGGTGTCGGGAGAGGCCCGGCGAGGGAGCGGGGCCCGCGCGGCGCCATGTCGCCCCGCTGGCAATGCCATTCGCCATCCGTCGCGCCCGCGAGGCTCTAGCCCCGCCGCCGGGGACCATCGGCGCGGCGGCGGCGGCCCCGTGGGCTGCGGCAGGGCCATCTGCGGCATGGGGGCCCCGGGCCCCCCACGGCGTCGTCCCGGCCCGGCGCCGCCTCACCTTCATCCTGCTCAGGCCTCGGCGCCGCGAAAAAGGACCGCACTTCCGCCCGCACTGCCCACATACACCCGCAACTCTCGCGAGAGCGCCACCGCCCGCGCCCCGCGTGACCGGAGCTGCCCTATGGCGAGCGAGGCTGCGCCGCGCGAGGGGCGCGGTCGGGGCGTCCCCTGGGGGCGTGTCTCGGCCCCGAGCGCCTCCTGCGCTCCACCATCCTGCCCGGCCGCCCGGGCGGGGGGGGCGCGGCGGGAAGCTGGCATCTGCCCGGGGGTCAACATCTGAGGGGGAGACTGCTTCTTCTGATACTGCTCGTGCAGTGACGAAGTGCTCCTTAAGGACTGCCAGTGGAGCCGCACGGAGGGACTGGGGGGGTAGGCGCGCCCACCCCGGGGTTAGGGGCACCGGCACCGTGAATAGGAGGCGACATCCACACGGGACGCACCGGCTTTCCGGACAAGGCGCGTTTATTGCGCGACCTGACCAGCGTTGGGATGGGCTATCCCGGTCCCCCGCCGAGGCCGCTTGTCCGGCACTTTGTGCGCGCAGGCGCACTGGCGGCCGCTCTTCATCGCGGGGCTGGAGCTGACTGCTGTGCTGAGTCCAGTTCTGGGCTCCTCGGCACAAGGAACAGAAGGGGCTACTGGCGAGGATCCAGCAGAGGGCTACAAAGATGATCAGGGGTCTGGAGCATCTCTCTTATGAGGAGAGACTGCAGAAGCTGAGCCTGTTTAGTTAGACTAGAGAAGACTGAGAGGGAATTTCATCAATACATATAAATATCTCAAAGGTGGGTGCCAAGGGAATGGTGCCCAGTGACAGACATGGAGAAATAGCCATAAACTAAAACATAAGTTCCACTGTAACGTGAGGAACAATTCATTGAGGGTGGCAGAGCACTGGGACAGGCTGCCCGGGGAGGTCGAAGATCCTCCCTCTCTGGAGACACTCAAAATTCACCTGGACACGTTCCTGTGTAACCTGCTCTAGGTGACCCTGCCTTGGCAGGGGGGTTGGACTGGATGATCTTCAGAAGTCCCTTCCAACCGAGCATACCCTGGGAAACAACCCTTGAAAACAAGGGGGGTCCAAGAGGGATCGATGTGCTTCAAATAGGAAGTTTTGAGTGCACAGGAACAGGCCGTACCGGTGTGCCGAAAGGCAAGCCGGCGGGGAAGACAACCAGCTTGGTTAAACAGGGAGATTCTGAAGGAAATCAGGGATAAAAAGAGAGTTTACTGACTGTGGAAGAAAGGGAAGAATTCAGGAAGACAGCTAGATCATGCAGAAAGAAAATCAGGGATACAAAAGTGCAATTTGAAGTTAAATTAGCCACTTCTGTTAGGGATAACAAAAAGTCCTTCTATAAATACATTAATAACAAAAGGAGGGGCAAAGAAAACCTCCATTCTTTGAGGGACTTGGAGGGAAACATAGTTAATAGAGATGAGGAGAAGGCTGAGGTACTTAACACCTACTTTGCCTCAGTTTTTACCAGTAGGACAGGTGGCCCTCAAGGCAACTGGCCTCTGGAGCTGGTAGACAGAGATAGGAAACCAAATAGTCCCCTTGTATTCCAGGAGGAAATAGTGACTTACTGAGTCATCTGGATCCTCACAAGTCTATGGGACCAGATGGGGTCCATCCTAGGGTCATGAGGGAGCTGGCAGAAGAGCTTGCCAAGCCGCTCTCCATCATCTTCCAACAATCCTGGCTCACTGGGGAGGTCCTATATGACTGGAAGTTGGCAAATATCACCCCAATCCATAAAAAAGGCTGCAAGGCTGACCCGGGTAACTA